TGCGTGATGAAGTTCCTCTTCTTGCCCTGCTTCTTGCCCCGCTCGAAAAGCGAATCCAGCATATCTGCGCCACCTGCAATCGCCTCGAAGTCCACGACTGGATCTCCGGCCCACTCACCGCCCACCGTGGCTAGGTTCCTCTCGACAGGAGAAGTCGGGGATCCTGAACACGACGCACGAGTCTCGTCCGATTCGTCGTCGCTGCTGGCGGCGACAGTGCTCGCCCGAGGCAGTGGCGGTGGCGGCGGCGGCCCTACCCTGCGCGGCGGCTCCGGGGGCGGAGGCGGCGGGGGTGTCCTGATGCGCGCAGGCGGCGGTCCGCCTGGCTGCCTCGGCGTGAGGACAGCGGGCTTGTGCTTGGGCGGCGGCAACATGGGGGGCATTCCAGGAGAGCGAGCGATCGTGCCCGGAGGTGCAGCTTCGCCCGGTGGCAGACCCGTCGCCTTGCTGGTGCTGCTCATGAGAGTCTTCGTCTTCGGCGCGTCGTCGTCGTCGTCCTGCGAATCGCGTGCCTGCCGCGATGGGGGATGATGCAGCGGCGGAAGACGATGCGGCGACGGGCGGTGGCGAAGCAGCAGCAAGAACACTGCCGCCAACAGATTTTGGGAAATACGCCAGTTTCTGCATACTCACGAGCATAACGTACAAATCGCATAATCTGCAGGCGGCCTGTTGTCCTCGTGACAGATCTTCGAATATAATTGCAGCTCGCGCACAGCATATCGCCTCATCATGGCCTTGACATCTGCCTCAAAATAGTCAGCGCCAAAACGTTCACGCCAGATCGTTCTGATGTGTTCATGGATGACAGTGGCCGCGTCATTATCATTTAGTCCGTCAACCACACTCGATGCAGCGCGAGATGTCTTCTCCTCCCTCCTGGCCAGCTCAGCCCCGTCACGGGGTCTGCGCTTGGCAGGCGGCTCAGGAACTGGAGGCGGTGGTGCACTGAACATCTCGAAGGATTCAGTCAAGAGCGAAACCATCTTGTCAGCCGCAAAACGCGCCATCTCACAGCCCCAATCGGATACGTGACAGCAGTCGTCGCATTCTCCGTTGCAAGTGCGCTTGGGCCACTCATGACGACTCAGGTGCGTAGAAGTGTATGCAATGTCATACTGCTGCAAGAACTGCTTAACACCATAACTGACAGCAACACAGCGATGCCGACCAGAACGACATATGGCAACACTGCACAACGACTGTGAAGACTCGTTCTTCGCCAAAGCTTTTCCCGCGCACTCAGTGATGCCAACAAACTGTCCATTCTCGACTGAGTTGCGTAGGATATTCGGATGACGACCGATATGGCGTGTGTGGGTCGGGTCGTTCAGAGCCCTGGTGTCCCCCAACACGTGCCGATCAGAGTTCGCCATATTCGAATCTGCAACAAGGAGCGCATCTATGATGGCATTGGCGTCGCGTCCTCTGGTAGTCATATCGTGACTGGAGCGATGGTGACGGTGGATGTACTCCCTCAGTGTCGACGACCCCGAGCACCTCGGGCTGTTCTCGATGTTCTCCAAACCCAGCGTGATCACGGCAAGCTTCGAGCCCTGTGGTGTGGGGCGAGCGCCAGCGCCAGCAGCCATGGCAGCGACCCGTGCGTCCTCGTCGTCCCTGGAGTGATCGACGGGCGCAGGCGCACGCGTGATCCCGTCGTCACTGGAGTGATCGACGACAGCAGGCGGCGCGGCGCGGCCGGCGGGGGCCGTGCGGCTGCCCAGATACGAAATGTGCAACGGACGACTGGACTCCGCAACGTGCTCTGGGTCAAACTGATCAAGACGAATGATAAGAAGGCCCGAGCGAGTACAACGACGCATTTCTACCTCGCCTTCCTGACTCAAGAGAGCGCAACCACTAACGTGATCCTTCGCGAGACCAGGGGAAGCTCGTGCAGAAAGAGGCAACGAGAGAGGAACAGGATCCGAATCTTTCAACTGACGTGACTCGAGACACCCACTCACGACGACGCCAGAAGCAGCGACGCGAAACTGAAGCTCTTCCTACCTGTCGTCTCACTCCCTGCCTGTCCTCCTATGCCGCTGTGCGTCTTGCGCTGTCTGTGAACCCGTTTAGGATAGAAGCCCAGCTTCTCGACTGAATTGCCTGCGTTGAGAGCCCAAGCTTTACCGGGGCGACAGGAATTGCAACCCTCGCCTATGACAATCAAGGCACCTTCGTCCTTGAAGACATCAACCGTACGAGGCTTAGACAGAGCCGAAACTTCGGTGGAAACGTTCTGTGTCGGGGCCATAAAACCGACAAGACTGTGATCTCTGACTTCTGCGACGCAGTCGTGAAGCAACGAGATTAATTCACCTGTGCTGCTGTTGCCCGTGTCATCGCAAACCCCAGCAGCACGTCTAGTGAAAGCCTGTAGTGCAACCTTTAGCTCCACAGAGGGCATGCGGCGATCATCCTCAATAATCTTCTCGATGGCTTCTGCTTAGATGTTGCTGGGGCGCTCAGGTTTCTTTGATGTTGCTTTCTTGTCTTCTGCTGGCTTCCTGGGCTACTCATCGCTATATGTCTGGCAGCGACAGCGATGCGCGCGAACAGCATCTGGAATACTGCCGCGATTATCTACGAGATCGTGCGGACACTCGCCTGGGGAATGCAGTGCCGTGCGCCTCTCCTCCTCGGTCTTGTGCCCGTAATCCTGGCGAAGCGGACAATGAGACGAGCGCTAGCACCGACTCCCGAGACTTTCTTGCAACCTCGAACACGTGGGCGAGGCAGAGGGGGGCCCGGGGTTTCCGGTTCAGGCCAGAAGAAGAACTCGAAGAAGGCAAAACTTTGTTACTAGAAACTTTCGGCCCAAGAACTCTCGCAAACTGTCCGTCTTCCTTCCGAGTGAAATTGCTGTTGGCCCCATCCTAAGAACATGGCCAAATCCTCAGTTGTCTTCTTCACCTTGCGAACCCGATCCACGTGATCTGGAGTGCCCCTGAGAACGCGACCATAACTAAGCCCTTTGTGCAGGCCCGAAGCAAACGCAATATCCTGACCTGGGACAGAGATAGGGCCCGAAACATACTCCCCCCCCTCGAACTCCTCATGAGAAACGCCAGCCATGGAATGCGATTCGGTCGCGCGAACAGCCATGGGCCCAAGAGTATCCCTCTCAGCCTCTGCAGAGGTCTGAAAACTCTGCTCCTGGAGCTCTGGAGGCCCTTGAGCCGGAGCGGGTTCGGTCGCCCCCATGCAACTCGCGCGGGCGTGACGGTCGACGCGGTTGTGCCGCAAGCTACGCTGTCCGTCGCAATTCCCCCCCCCATGCGCGCGTGCCCTGCGGCGCAAGACGCGAGACGAGAAAGAAAACCAGAAACGAGAAACGCCAGGATCCATCCTCATCGACTTCTGCTTGCTCCTAATGAAATCATGAGGGATTGATGGTGATGCAGCAACATAACTGACGGATGTGAACTTCCGTTCGTCATCGTCCTCGCGCAACTGGACATGGCGCTCGCCAGTGTTTCCAGTGTGCGCTACCGTTGCCGTCCTGGGCTTGCCCTTGCATTCAGGGTCCCCGGACCAGTGGCCTTTTTCGTGGAAGGTCTTGCATGTCGAACGTTTCTTGATCTCCTGGAGCCGCTTTCTGCGATATTCCAAGGAAGGTCCTCCCTTGCCGCCTTTCTTAGGTGACCGGTGCGTGTGGTGATAGCTCTTGCCTCCGCTCTTTCCCTTGCCCTTGCCCCTTCCTTTGGTGCTGAGGTTGACGACCGGGTCCTCTTGGATCGTGTCAGAGGCTTCTTCCTCCGCGTGTCCGGCCTTGGCCATCTCGTCGACCACCTCGAAGTCGAGCTCGCTGCTATCCTGGACAGGGGCCCAGTGAGCACGCGATTCCTCGTCGACGTAGGTGTGTTCGTCGGCGTAGTCGTCCCAGGCCGTGTCGCCCCAGCCGTGCTCTGGCGCATAGCCGGGCGCGTAGTATCCGTAGGGGCTCAGCTCCTCAAGGTAATGCTCCTCCTGCTCGTACCATCCTTTATCAGCAGTGTAGCATGCGTGTTGTGGCCTGGAGAAGCGCACCTTGCCCTTGCCCTTGCTCCTCTTCTGGTAGCTGGGTCTGGGCTGCGTCCACGTCGAAGAGCTGGAACCTTTACCAGGCTCACCCTTGCCTTCTTGGCGGGTGTGTATGCGGCCGTGCTGGGGGATCAAGACGTCCTAATCTTGTCGAAGGTTGTCGCATTTCCTGTGGATGTCAACGCCGCCAGGTTCTCCGAAGGCGAGAGGCCTGCATGGTCCAAGAGAAGGGAGCCAAGCGTACCGTCGCTCATCAAGATCTTCGGATCTAACTTGGAGACAAGTTTCCACCAACGCTTCCTTCGGGATATGTATGAGACCATGCACTCACCGTGCTGCCGAGACAAGTGGTCAATGTGGTCTCTGCCCCACCTGGAACAGGATCTTCACTTCCTCCGCCTCTATTGGGAAGAGTGAAGCACGAATCGCCAGCACCAGCTGATCGATCCCATTCGGAGTCAGAAGCACGTCCTTGCCGTTTTCCATGGCAATATCGAATGCGTCACCTTTGGGGCCTTCTACAAGCTTGTTGGCAGCTGCGGTGATCACGTGTTGCTGTGGTGCACCCGTCTCTTGATCCACTGAGGTCAAGGCGCCACACATGCGCATCTCTGTGCGGAATTTCCACTCGTGGAAGTTGTTCACCGTGCCGTCGTAGATGGAGGAACCACTCTTCTTCTCGGACCGCGTCAGCGCGTCGGCGCTCGGCCGATAGCGAAGAGAAGAACGTGCCATGGCGCAAGGCGTAGTCCCCTAGCGAGGGAAACTGTCAGTTCAGAAAAATAAAAAAAAAAGGTAGTGCGACACTGTCTGATGAGAAGTGCGCGCAGGTGGTACGATACGGGGATCGTGTGGTAGCTCCGCTACCAGTGTGATTATGTTGCGTTTTAGCGCAATGGCAAAAGCGGGCCCCTAGAGGTCAAACGGCGGCGAGTGGCGCATATACACACGTGACGCATACACTATCTCACAGCAGTACGGCGGGCTAAATGTACATATTTGCATGATCTGTTGTAGACGGTGTCAAATTCGGGGTGTGTTCCAGGAGTGGAGCGTGTAGGAAAATTAGCCTAGCGAAGAACCCAATCATATGCAGTTGTGAGTACCGCAGCTGTGGGTTTCATCTTCAGTGGAACTCCCCATAAGACCACGGAACGTGTGAGGGGTGAGCCGAGGTGGGTGCCACTGGGGCTTTCTGTGAAGCGCCCTATGGGGCCATGGAACACGTACGGGGTGTGGGGGCCTTCAGTGGAGCTCCCTATGGGGCCCCGAAACATGCGGCGGGGGTGCCGGGATGGGTGGCGGAGACGCATGTAAGTGCCGCCGCTGGGGCCTTCGGTGGAGCTCCCTATGGGGCCACTATGCGTGTGAGGGGTGTACCGGGATGTGTGGCGGGGGCGCATGTGAGCGCTGCCACTGGGGCCTTCGGTGCAGCTCCCTATGGGGCCACGAGGCGTGTGAGTGGGGTGCCTAATTCGGTGCGGGTGACGCATGCGGGCGGTGCCACTGGGGCCTTCGGTGGAGCTCCCTATGGGGCCACGAAACCTATGAGGGGCGTGCTGAATTGGGTGGTGGGCACGCATGTGAGCGCTGCCACTGGGGCCTTCGGTGGAGCTCCCTATGAGCCCACGAAGCGTGTGAGGGGTGTGCCGCATTGGGTGGGTGTGGGTGACGCATGTGAGCGCCGCCGCTGGGGCCTCCGGTGAAGCTCCCTATGGGGCCACGAAACCTGTGAGGGGAATGCCGAATTGGGTGTGGGTGACGCATGCGCATGTGAGCGCCGCCGCTGGGGCCTTCGATGGAGCTCCCTCTGGGGCCACGGAACGTGTGAGGGGTGTGCTGCATTGGGCGTGCGGGACGCATGCGGGCGGCGGCACTGGGGCCTTCGGTGGAACTCCCTATGGGGCCACGTAGCGTGTGAGGGGTGTGCCGACTTGGGTGTGCGGGACGCATGCGGGCGGCGGCACTGGGGCCTTCGGTGGAGCTCCCAATGGGGCCACAAAACGTGTGAGGGGTGTGCCGAATTGGGTGTGCGGGACGCATGCGGGCGGCGGCACTGGGGCCTCTGGTGGAGCTCCTTATGGGGCCACGAAGCGTGTGAAGGATGTGCCGAATTGGATGTGCGGGACGCATGCGGGCGGCGGCACTGGGGCCTCTGGTGGAGCTGCCTATGGGGCCACGAAACGTGTGAGGGGTGTGCTGCATTGGGCGTGCGGGACGCATGCGGGCGGCGGCACTGGGGCCTTCGGTGGAGCTCCCTATGAGGCCACGAAGCGTGTGAGGGTGTGCCGAATTGGGTGTGCGGGACGCATGCGGGCGGCGGCACTGGGGCCTCTGGTGGAGCTCCCTATGGGGCCACGGAACGTGTGAAGGATGTGCCGAATTGGGTGTGCGGGACGCATGCGGGCGGCAGCACTGGGGCCTTCGGTGGAGCTCCTTATGAGGCCACGACGCGTGTGAGGGGTGTGCCGAGTTAGGTGTGCGGGACGCATGCCGGCGGCGGCACTGGGGGCTTCGGTGGAGCTCCCTATGGGGCCACGAAGCGTGTGAGGGGTGTGCCGAAATTGGTGTGCGGGATTATGACGATGATGGTGATGACGGTGATGATGACGACGATGACGATGACGATGACGATGACGATGACGATGACGATGACGATGACGATGACGATGACGATGACGATGTTGATCATGATGATGATGATGATGATGATGATGATGATGATGATGATGATGATGATGATGATGGTGGTGGTGGTGATGATGATGATGGGAGGAGGGAGGGGGAGGGGGAGGAGGAGGAAGGAGGAAGGAGGGACGCGGGGCGCTGTCTCTTCAAAACGAGGACCCAACACCACAGGATGGTTGGGAATAAATGGCATCGACCGCTCCAAGTGCACCCAGGAACCTCAGTCCAAGCAAGATGGTGGAACTGGTCGAAAACCGCTTGATGACTGCACACGTAGTGTCCGCGTGGCGTGTAGGACAGCCTACCGCACCGCTTCGCAGCTCCGAATCAACCTACATCATGGTTGCTGTACTTTTCCGCACCGCTGTCCTCGCGATGACGCGCAATGGTGTTCGGCGGTATGTGAATTCTGGGCAGATTGTATTCGGGAGGCCACGTGGCCAAGCGCAGTGCCTGCCCTCCACCGACACGGTGAAACACGGCGTGGAGGAAGTAGGGGACGGGAGGGAAAAAACCGGCAAATGTGGGACGGGGGGGGGAGGAGCAGGGACGGAGAGGAGGCGTGGCTCGGCGCGCCCGCTGGCCGCTGGGGACGGCGGGCCGGGGCCCTGCATCTGCTGTCCTGCCCTGGGCAGCAACCCCCGCACGACGTGCAGCAGCCCGCCACCGCGTCCGTGTACAGCAGGAGCACGACCAGCAGGAAACCCTCCACAGGAAACCCAACCCTGAGACCCCCAGGACGTCTGTGGACTGCTGGTGTGGGCACGTCACGCCTTCTGTCGCGAAGCCGTCCACGCCCAGGAAGCCCAGGGCACCCTGGAGGCACGCAACGGTGCCCCGCAGCATGGCTCTCCCGCTGGAGCCCTGCGCGAGCGAGCCGCTCCAGGCACGTGGCCTTGCCGGCGCGGAGCCCCGGAGCAACCCCCGGCCGCCCACGAGCCCACTCGGCTCGCCATGACGGCCCGGCGCCGCCGAGAGTGAGGCTAAGGCTCGACCTCGTCCTCCTCGCCCTCCTCCCCGCCGTCCGCCCGCACGCGCCGGATGCCGAAGCGCTTGCCGGCCCGCAGCATGCCGAGCGCCTGCCCCAGGAGGCGCCGCAGCACACGGGCGCGCGCAAGGCTTCTGCTCTCCTCGAGGCCTCTTGAATGGGGTCCGAGTAGATGGGGTCGGAGGGTCGCGCTGCATCGCCACTGCATCGGCGATGCATCGGCGATGTATCGCCGATGCATCGCCGACGTCGGCGGTGTATCGGCGACGCCGGCGTGGAGACAACGGGCCTCCGTATTGAGCCGCCTCGCCGACGCATCGGCGGTGCGGCGCGATCCTCCGACCCCCTCTACGCGGACCCCACCTAGGAGGCCTAGATCTCCTCCAGCGCCCCGTCGGCACACGCGATGGCCTCCTCGTGGGCCACGAGGCAGAGGTACTCGCACATCAGCAGCCGGGCCCACTCCTTTGAGCAGGAACCGACCGCCCCGGCCTTCCTAGAGGCCTACCACGACAGGGTCCAAGAACCCCAAGCATGTTCGAGGAACCAAAGCAGTGCTCTTATATAATACTTATATAGCACAAGCCCGATGTGCTACAACAAGACAACCTCGGCCAGAAATGCTCTGAGGACATCTCGTGCAGACGGCACACGGTTCTGAGCACGTCCGTTAGTGGGCCTCTAGGCAAGCCGGGACGCCTCGCCACTGCTCGGCTCCTGGCCCGCGAGCTCGCGGTCCGCGCCCTCCAGCTCGGACCACCAGGCGCTGCTGGCCGGGTCGCGCGCCCTCGCGCGGGCGAGCGCCTGCAGTGCCGGCCGCAGGCGCTCGCTCTCCTCGTAGGGCCAGCGGCTGCGAGCGCAGAGGAGCCGCAGGAACGCGACGGCGTCGCGGCCGTTGGCGGCGGCGGAGTTGAGGGCCCTGCACAGGGAGTCCTCCAGGCGGGCGGTGTCGAGCACGATCTGGTCCCGCCAGCCGCTCGGCAGGAAGACCTCGTACACGGGCAGCATCCTCTCCCGCCGCACGATGTGTGACCACCCTGGCTCCTGCTCTGGTGGATGGGTGAAGCCGTAGGTGCGGTAGAGGAGCACATTGGACCTCGGCCCGTACGAGCAGCAAAGCTCCTCGCCCGCGCAGTGCGCACGGTCCGCTGTGACTACCATGGCCTGTCCCTCAGCATCCCACCTCCACGACACGCCTGGAGACGTGGTGGAGTGGTTGAAGAGGTCGACCACGGGCACCAACGTCGAGCTGTCGCAAGTCTCGAAGACCCTCGTGAGGACGCTGAACCGTCCTCTCGTGTACATGCCGAGGCTCGGGCAGCGCCTTCTAGGCATGCGCTCGGCGAAGGCGGCCTGCAGAAAGGAGTGCATGCTCCCGAAGTCGCGTGCCATCTCCACGAAAAAATCTGCCTCCGGCGAGGGCGTGAAAGCTGCTCGCATGCTGGCGGGGTCTGCGGCCGCGAGCCGGAAGGGGTGCGCGTCGAAGTGCTCGCTGAGGATGCCGTCCACGTAGCTTCGCCAGACACTCAGCACCTCGGCGTCAGTCCTTCCAAAGTCCTCGCAAGCTCCGCCGTCCCTGGCGGCGCCGCCGGCGGCCGCCGCGACGGCCCTGTCCTCTGAGCGTTGTCTAGCAGTCAGGACAGAGGTACCGTGGCCAAGTAGGGATGAGGATAACTAGGTTACCATGCGACGTCCGGATTTTTTCCACAAGGGTCCATGGAAGTCCCGATCCGTTCCCCGGGACCGGCTTTTCATCCCGAGTCGTCTTTTGACGGTCCCAGGGCCCGGCGAGGGCCCCCCGAGGCCGAACATGGCCCAAAACCGCCCTTCCTGATTTCCCCACGACGCCATCATGCCTGGGACTGGGTTGCGAGACGATGCTGGTCCTCTGCCTCGTGCAGCAGCCGCGCCACGAACGCGGTCTGGCAAACCTCGGCGCGGCGCCCGCGCGGCACGCCCTCGGGCAGCTCGGCGCACGCCCGCCACAGCTCGGGGTCCTCGCCCTGCGCTCGCCTCGGCGTGATGTGGAACCTCGCGGGGATCCTCAGCAGCTCCTCCAGCGGCAAGGCTTCGGGTTGCGCGCAGGCTGAGACCCCCCAGGTAGTCTCTTCCTCCTCCTCCACGTCCTCCTCCTCCTCCTTCTCCTTCTCGACGGGCCCCCCGAGTAGCCTGGGGCAGTCGCAGCACCCTGGCGCCGCTCCTGGCGGCTCCCCTGAGGCGCTCCGCGCCGCAAGGTTGGGGCTGTGAGACCGCCCTGGAGCATTCGGGGGGCCTGTTGAGGCCAGCTGGGGCTACCTGGGGGGGGGGCCTGTGGAGGCCAGCTGGGACTACCTGGGGGGGCTGTCTGCGCGCAGCCCGAAGCCTTACCGAACTCCTCGCCCTCGTCGACGGCATCGGCGGCCAGCAAGCCCGGGACGTTCAAGGGCGGGGCGCACCCTCTGACCAACTTGTGGCTCACGTGGCACCCGGCCGCCCGCGCCGCCGCGAAGAGCTGTCGGCACGCGTCGCCCGCCTCGGGGGGCGGCGCCCGCGGGGTGGGCACCAGCACAAGGGGGCCCAACTGCGCAGCCTCGCCCTCCTCCGCCTGCACGCGCAGCCGCACGAAACTGCACCTCCGTTGGTAAGGCTTTGGGATGCGCGCAGACAAAGATCCCCAGGTAGTCCCGGCTGGCGTCAGCGGGCCCCTCCGAGTATTCTGGGGCGGTCTGAACACTCTGGCGCAGCCTCAGGCGGCGCCCCTGGGGCGCCGCCCTGAACTATTCGGGGGGACTGTTAGGCCAGCCGGGGCTATCTGGGGGGATGTCACAGCCCGAAGCCCTACCAACCTCCATGGGCCAGCGTCGCCGCCGACCCCAGGGTCCCTCGAGAGCACCACCTTGTCGCCCGGCACCGCGCCGTGCGGCACCGTCACCATCACGGTCTCGCCGTGCCCCGTGCTGGCCGCCATCTTCGTTACGCCGGGCGTCACGTTCGGCGGCACGAGGAACTTGACGGTGCCATCGTCCGCCGCCCGTGGCGAAAGCCGGCGGCAACTGCCGGCCACAGCGCAGGACCACGCGCCCTCGTCCTGCTCCGTCAGCACGAGGCGGTCCCCCGGCAGCGCCCCTGGCGGCACAGTCACCAGGAGCTTGTGGGCGTCTTCCAGGGAGAGGGAGAGCCTCGTCTCCCCTGGCCTCGCCCCGTCTGGGACGATGACTTCCAGCTCGCGCACCTTCCGCAGCTGAGGCTGCGCCTCCTCCAAGGGCTGCGACACTCCTGGGAGGCCATCGCAAGCATTGGCCTGCACCTTCGGGCCCACCACATCTTGCAGGCTGCTGTAGCCAGGCTCCATCAGCGCCGTCGCCATCCACAGGCAGGCGTCGCGCCCCAATCGCGGGGGCAGGTCGCGGGCCGGCAACAGGACTCCTTGGACCGAAGGCTGCGGTGGACAGCGGCGCAAACAGCAATATACACGTAGGCACCTCCACAAATATGCAAAAACACAGGCAAACACTGCATACGCACGCGCACTTGTTTGGCGTCGCGGCCCCGCGCGCGGCGACCGAACAGACACACACACACACACACGGCGCGTCGCGTACAAAGACACACACACACACTCGCACACACACACACGCACACACACATACACACCTGCACGCACACAGGCACACACACGCACACGCACGCGCACCGGCACAGGCACACGCACACGCGCACATACACACGCACACGCACACGCAAACGCACACGCACACGCACACGCACACGCACACCCGCACGCGCACGCGCACGCGCACGCGCACACGCACACGCACACACACACACACACCCGCACACATACACACTCGCACATACACGCACACACATGCACACACATGCACACACACATGCAAACACACAAACAAACACACAAACAAACACACACATACACACCAACACACAAACACACGAACACACGAGCACACAAACACACAAGCACACACACGAACACACAAACACATACAAGACGGACAACACACAGCACACAACACACAACCCACACAACACACAACAACACTTACAACAGACAACGCAGACAAACACACGGACACACAGACACAGAACACACACAAGCACACACAAACACCAACAACAATACCATCACCAACACCAACACAATCAAGCATACACACGACCACAAACAAAATCATACACAAGCACAACCACAAGCACAACCACAAACACACACACAAATACAAACACAAGCACACACACAACACACGCGCAGGCACGAGCACAAGCACTAGCACAAGCACACGCACAAACACAAGCACAAGCACACACACAAACAATCACACAGACATTCACAACCACACCCACAAACACAAACACACACACACAACACACAAACAAAACACACCAACACACACACACACCCACCCACCCACACACTTTTAAGTCAGCGGCGCAGAGGGTCCTCAAGCGCGGGCAGCAGGTGGAGCGCACGCACACACACACAGACACAGACACAGACACAGACACAGACACAGACACACACACACACACACCCACGGATACACGCACGCACGCACACACGCACGCACACGCATGCACACGCAGACGCAGACGTACACGCACACGCAAACGCACACGCACGCACACACACACGCGCGCGCACACACATGCACACACGCACACACGGACACACACACACACACACACGCACCCACGAACCCACGCACACACGCACCCGCGCACCCACGCACCGACGCATCCACGCACGCACGCAACTACGCACCCACGCACACGCACACACGCACACGGCAGGCCACAGACCACAGACCACAGACCACACACACACACACACACACGCACACACAGACACACACACACAAATACACACACGCGCGCACACACAGACACACACACACACGGCTTGCTTGCCCAGCAGTGGGCGCCAAGCGCCCAGGACGAGACCGCGGGTCTCGTTCAACGGCTGGAGGACTGTGAGGAATATGTCCAGGCGACCCTGCACGCGCCACAGTACGCGCCGCTCTGCCTCCACGCCACAGCCGAGTTTGCGGCCAGCAGGCGGCGGAGAATCGCCAAGGAGGCGTGCGAAGAGGCATGGGCCAGGTCCTCCAACGCGCGGGCCGAACTGTGGCGGCTGCTTAACGACCACCAGAGCATGGGCCGCCTGCGCGACTATGCCAACGAACTCATGCTGCGGCTGCAACGGTTCCGCGAGGCGCGGCAATTCCTGGTCGGCCCCGCGGGCGCGGTGCTGCCACCGCATCTGCGACACACCCAGGGAGGAGCACGGCTGGAACCGCGGGCTCGCTTCCGTTCGCCGACGGCCGCGGGAAAAACGTCTGTCCCCGACGACATCGTAGGCATGGCGACGCCGTTGCTGCCATCGCCCAACGAAGAGGAGGAGGCAGCGCCGGCAGATGGGCGGGCACCGTCACTCAGTGGCACGGGCAGCGAGCCAGACTCTCTCTTGCCCGACGTGGACATGGGCGAGGAAGCAAGTGAATCCGAGATCGAGCGATGGCCCGACTTCGAGATCGACGACGACGACGATGACCAACGTGACCCAAGCCCTGAACCAGGGGTGGCGTCGTCGTCACCGCCCACGCAGCGTGCGCAGTCAACGACTGCGGAAGCAAGCCCCTCAGCGAGGCTGCCTAGGGCCCGCGCGAGAGGCCGCGCCGCCGTCAGCAGTCCCAGCACTGGGCAAGGCCCGATGGGCATCCTGCAGGGCGCGGCTGCCAACAGCTTGGCCCCCCTCCCTGCCCATGGCCTCGCGGGGGCCCTGGAGGACGACGACTGGGCCAAACTCCTCGGCTGGGCTACTGCCTGGTTGCCAGACATCAGCGAGGGCAACGACGACCGCGACTTCGACAGCTGGGCCCAGGTGTGCGCGCCGCACGCCGCCGCGCGGATTGCTACGAGGTGCCCCGCCACCAGCTTGGGCCAGCTGCTCTGCGCTCTGGGGGCGCCTCCGCTCAAGCAGCCTCTGCACGGGGTCGCCCGTCGCCCCCCGGCGCCGCACCGACGAGGCGAGGAGCGCGCGCGGCGCGTGCTGGCCCTCCGCGCCCAGGGCGGCGTCGTGCTCGCGGGGCGACGGCGCGGCGGCGCCCCCCGGGGCGGCCCGCGGACGATCCCGGCGCGGGCGAGCTCCTGGCCAGCATCGGCGCGCAGGTCACCGTGAGCAGCGAGTGCGGCGCCGAGGCTGCGGGCGAGGCCGGCGCTGGCCAGCGCAGCAGTGGGCGCGTGGGCCCTGGCTCGCGCTCCTCCGCGCGGTTGGTGCCCAGGCGTGCTGGGCGGCTGCGCAGCTGCACCACCATCAGCAGGCGCCGCCCGTCAGGGCCGCCGCGCAGGCAGCTGGCAGGGCACGCCGCGCACGCCCTGCAATCGCCATGGCCACTGCGGAGGCGCGGGCGGTGGAGGTGATGACGGAGGCGATCGGATCAATGCGTGTTCCATGCTTCCTTCTGAATTGCACAGAGGATCGGGGCTGGCCGCGCCGCATCTCGGGCGAAGGGTGGCCCCCTCAGGGCGAGCTCGCGTTGAGTCCCCACGATGGCCGTGCGGTTTTCCCCTGTTGGGTATGGCGGATGGCCCACCCCCGTGGCCATCAGAAGAAAGAAGACCTGCAGCAGCTAGTGAAGAGCGGCGCGCTGCAGGCGGAGAGAGTCGCAAGGACCAAACTGCGGCAGCCACGAACCGCGGGGGTGAGAGGGAGGACGAGTACTCCCTGCGTCGCCCAGAGGAGGCAGCGGTTGGCGGCGGGGAGGGGGAGGACGAGTGCTCCCCGCGCCCTCCTGCTCAGCCCACAGGCCCAGCGGCCGCCGACTGCCCCAGAGCAGCAACCAACCGGAGGGAGGGCCTCGACGACGAGGACGCCGGCGGGATGGAGAGCGCTCTGGGCCGGAATGCGGGCTCGCGCCAGACGAAGGACGGGGGCATGCAGCAAGGCTTGGGGGTCGGCGGCTCCAGAAACGTCGGCTCCTGCGTCGAGACTGCAGCCCCATCTGGTTGTTTGTCCCCTGCGACGGTTGAGGCGGCGGGCAGGGCGGAACCCGCTGCGAACCCTTGCGCTGCCCTGCGGGAGGCTGGCCAAGAGGGAGGTGAAGGATCCCTGCCCGTCGAATCGGCTGGAGGACCCGAGGTGAGTACCACTGCTACTTCGGTGACGTGGGCTAAAGGGACTTCCACCGGGGGTGTGTCAGGCGTTGGGAGCACCCGCATAATTGCTCGTAGCAGTCACGGGCACCGCGTACCACAAGGCCAAGCACTCAGTGAGTGGACTTCAGGCGGGTGCCGCGGCGCGACGCGAGGCAGCTGGCAAGAGTCAAGTGCGAAGCGAAGAACCTGAAGGCCATCCACGACATAGTGCAATACCGGTCTGGCCCAAAAGTCCGTGTCCTCATTGGCGCGATGGTGAGCCCGCTGTGCCGGGCCAAGATGCGTGAGTCGGACACCGATCTGCGCTGCCCCTGGTGTGGCGCAGAGCACGGCTCACAAGCACACGTCATCTGGGAATGCCCAGAAGACGTCCTTCGAGACCGGCCGACCAGATACGGGCCCGCCACCGCCCTCCAGAGGCGACTTCTGTGGCCGACGGGCCGCACGGAGCGGAAAGACATCGACCGCCACCTCCTGAATTGGGCTGTGGAAGTGGACGACATCATTTCCAATGATAGGCACAATATCCAACGAGATGCCGCTTTCCTGCGCCGCCCTCAATCCGATACACCTGCTGGAGGCACTGGGGGCAATCGTGGAGCAGAGGAGGCAGATTCAGCAAAGGAAGAGAGAGGTAGAGAAGGAGATGGAGGAGGGGGCGACTTGCGCGGAGGAATCAGCACAGAGCTCCCCAGCTCCCAGCATTATCCCGAGGAGGAGGAGGAGGAGGAGGAGGAGGAGGAGGATGAGGAAGAGGTAGAAGGGCGATGATGATGAGGAGGAGGAGGAGGAGGAGGAGGAGAAGAGGAGGAGGAGGAGGAGGAGGAGGAGGAGGAGGAGGCAGGAGGAAGAGTTGTCAGCAGCTGCTCTCTCATCCCGCCGCTCGAGCGGCCTCTCTGAACAATATCTGTTGCTGCCGCGCCATCCAGACGGCGCCGCAACCCAACCTCAGGAGCGGACTACTGCTCCCGATTCAAGTTTGCAGCCCGACCTTGGATGTCCAGCGACGGTTGAGATGGCGGTCAGGACGGAACCCGCCGAGACCCCATGCGCTGCCCCACGGAAGGCTGAGCAAGAGGGAGGTGAGGGATCCCTGCCCATCGAATCGGCTGGAGTACCCGAGGCGAACACCACTGCTACTTCGGTGACGTGCGCGACAAGCCTGGCCGCCAGAGCTGGGACAGACGTTTGGGGCACCCGTCCAATTGCCCCTCAACCTCGAGTTGACGATTACCCACGAGGCATGACAATGCTGCAATGCGACAACCTGGGCTCAGGCTCCACCGGCCTCCAAGAGAAGCCTGCCCACCACGGTGCCTAGTTGGAGGAACAGCCTGGGCCTGCACCAGGAGCGGACCCTGCGAAGGCCGCGGGAGGTGGACCTGCTGGTGTCAGAGACTGCCCCACTAGCACGGGCCTCCCCTCCAGTGCGCGGCGGACCTGGCAGGAGGAGGAGGAGGCGGGGGAGGAGGCGGAAGAGGAGGAGGAGGAGGCGGAGGAGGAGAAGGAGGAGGAGGAGGAGGAGGAGGCGCCAGCGTCAGTGGGGGGCCGCCCGAGGGCGCGGCCGCCAGCCCGCGCGCGGGCAGCAGCGAGGGCGGCGGAGCCGCCAGCAGAAGGGTGGCCGCAAGCCCTGCGCCGCACCGGGCGCCGAAGGTGTTGGACTTAGGTCGGGCCTGTCCTCCCACAGGGGGACTTTGGGCGAAAGACTAAACATACTCATAAAAGTATTCCTCAAATGCTAAAAACAGCTCAAAACATCGTCCCCTGATTATTGTTTGGGCTACTTTTGAATACCCCTCCTGTAAGGGGACAGGCCCGACTTATTGGACCTGGACCACGACCCCGCCCTTCGTCCCCACCCGGTCAAGGACGAGGAAGACGGCGGTGAAGAGTTGGCGATGACGCAGCCCGCGCGAGCGGAGAGGGCGCGGGCCCCATGCGCCAGCTGAGACGTCGGCAGCGGGCGGAGATGCCGACGGCGGCACCGAGGCCCTGGAAGCCAGGCTGCAGAGCCTCCAGAACCAACCGCTACGGTGGAGCCAGAAGTGGATACGCAGTGTCGGGCTAGAGGACAGCGACGACGAGGGCGCCTGGCTCGACTGGTGCCTGCAGTGCGCCGAGGCGCGGCTGGCGCAGGCGCGGATGCGTCCCCGCTTCGAGGGGCACGTGGGCAGCGAGGGGCAGTTCGCAGCCTGGTCAGGATGCCCTGTGCGGACGCGTGGCGGCTCGGCAAGCCAGGGCGACTGAGCCGCGCGCGGCTCCTCGTGCGCCAGGCCCGTGACCCCCCCCCGACGGGCGAGGCACCTGCGCAGCTGCGACACAGCCGAGAGCACAAGGAGCTGCGGCGATGGACGCGGCGCGAGCGGAGCGCGCTCCACGAGCTGCTGCGCGGGGAGCGCGAGCCGGAGGGCAACGGCTGGCCGCGCCCCGAGGCAGGCCCGTGCATGGCGCTATAGGAGGGGGCGGGTCAGTCACGGAGAGACGCTGCCGAGGAACGTCCCAGCCCCACTGTCCCTCCCTCCCTCCCTCCCTCCCTCCCTCCCTCCCTCCCTCCCTCCCTCCTCCTCCTCCCCTCCTCCTCCTCCTCCTCCTCCCTCCTCCTTCCTCCTCCTCCTCCTCCTCCTCCTCCTCCTCCTCCTCCTCCTCCTCCTCCTCCTCCTCCTCCTCCTCCTCCTCCTCCTCCTCCTCCTCCTCCTCCTCCTCCTCCTCCTCCTCCTCCTCCTCCTCCTCCTCCTCCTCCTCCTCCTCCTCCTCCCCCACTGGCCGCTGCGGGGGCGCCACTGAATCACCAGCCCAGCGCATCCGGCGACGACCTGGTCGACGTCGATGACGTGACTCCCGCTGGCGGAAACGAGGCCACTGCTGCTGGATCTTCGCGCGGTGGCACGGAACGCGCAGGCTCAGCAGGGAGCGGGCGGCCTGGCAGACGCCGACGCAGGAGGCAGTCCTCACCGACACCCACAGGTGCCTGCGGCGAGGAGGGCAGTCAGAAACCGAGCGCACGCCCGACTCTGAGGACGAGGCCGAGGTGCCCAATGAGGAGGGCGCACCCGAGGAGAGCGGCAACGACCCAGTCCAGAACATGGCGATGCTGCAGATGGCGAGTGGCAACATGTAATAAACCCCTTCAGACAAGAACAAGTCGGGTCAGGGCCTGCACAAGCGAGCAGCAGACCACGGGGCCCAGGCTGAAACCCTGGCCCGCAAGAGGCTACGATTGGACCAGTCGGCCAGTGGCCCTTCGCAGCAGGAGGGCCCAGTGGGTGAACTGGGCTGCCCAAGGCGCCCGACGCCACCTGCGCGCACGGCGTGAAGGTTGCGGCCGAGAGGCGCGGCGGAGGTCAACGGCGTAGACGGCAGTGCAAAGGCCAGCCGTTGGTGCGCTGCTTGCGGTCACAGCCGCCGCCGCTGCGGCTTCCAGCGCGCCAGGAGAAGCCACGCTGGGCACCTCGGGCGGAGAGGCAGCCAGAGGAGTGCTGCGGAGTGTGCCGGAGCACGGCGGGCCCTCCGCCGTGGGCCGCTGCAGCCCCGACGCTCGGCGGGTGCGGGAAGGTGGGCGTCCCGCTGGCCGAGCCAGTCTGTCGGGGGCACGAGGGTGCGGCTGGCCCCCGGCCGTTGGCCCATGCAGCCCTCGCGCCCGCCAGGGCCCAGGGCCGCCACGATGTTGTTCCGCAAGAGGCCAGGGGCCGTCCTGCAGCAGCTGAGCGAGCTGGCGGGGAGGATCGGCGCACGTGAAGCAACGGGAACCCAGACGCCTGGAGGTGTGACGCCGTCAGAAGCCCCAAGATGCTCCCACATGCTCCCGGAGGAGCTCCAAGAAACCCCAACGAGTCTCCAACAGAAACCCAAGAGGCCCCCAAGAGACCCCCAACACCCCAAAAGGTCACCAGAAGCCCAAACGCCAGCGACGGCACAATACGGGCCGGCGGAATGAGCGAAGCGATTCAATAACAAATATTCCTCTATACTTTCCCTGTATTTTCTGGATTTTCGTCTTCCCCCCCCACTTCCCATAGTTTCCTGCAATTTCCTGGGAATCGACGATTCATTGTGTCTGTGTGTTTCCTTCCCTCCTGAGACCTCCCGACGTCTCATTTTTTTTTCAAGCCCCGCGCGTTTTTCTCGCCTCGCTTCGGGCCGCGGGGCGGCCCTCGCGCATCGATCGGGCTCGAAAAAACGTGGCGCAGAAGGGTGGGGCCTAGGGCTCCGGCCGTGTTTTTTTTCACGATGTCTCAACTGTTTCGAGACGTCGGATCTCAGCTTCGTTCCTTCTCTCCGTCCCTCCCCTCCTCCTCCTCCTCCTCCTCCTCCTCCTCCTCCTCCTGCTTCTCTCCTCCGGCCGTGTTTTTTTCACGATGTTTCAACTGTTTCGAGACGTCGGATCTCAGGGTTGGTGTACAGTCGGGCTGCGGAAAGAAGGAGCGCCAAATAAGGAACGAAGCCCCTCTATGGCCCCACAAGCGCCTGCGAGGACGACGAACGCCAGAGAAACGGCCACGGAAGTATCTAAGGACCATCGAGCCCCTTCCGAACCCAAAGTGCTCCTTATTTCAGCGTCTGGATTGTACCTCTAAAGGGGGTGTCCAGCGGCGCGGTGTCGCGCGAGGCCTCGCCCACGGGGCCTTGCTTCTGTGGGCGCTGCCGAACGTGCAGGCGTCGCCACTTTCTTGCGCTCGCGAGGGGTCCAGCGGAGTGCTTTCGCTCGGCCTCTTTCGTTCTCAACCTTGCTTCGTTCCTTCTCTCCCTCCCTCCCCTCCTCCTCCTCCTCCTCCTCCTTCTCCTCCTCCTCCCTCCCTCCCCTCCCCTCCCTCCCTCCCTCCCCTTCTCCTCCCCTCCCTCCCTCCCCTCCCCTTCTCCTTCTCTCCCTCCCTCCCCTTCTCCTCCTCCTCCATCCCCCGTTTTGTTCTCTGAGCCCCCAGGCAGGGTGTCTTCAGACCTGCCAAGTGTTTGGATTGCCGTCGCCCTGCGAGTCTTGGAGAAGCTCGGAGCGGCCGCCCCCCTGCAGCGTTGCACAGGAGATCTCGTGCCCCTAGGCGTTGGCAGAAGCCCAGGTTGTGTCGGGCACGTCCCTGGATTATTTCTTCACTCTCTTGCACAACTATGCTCTAGAGCTCGGAGCCCTTCACTTCCATGGTGGTCGTCGTTCGTCACCCCTCCCCAGGCCCGGCCCCGGCCCTGGCCCACACGCTACCTGATCCTGCAGGATCAAGACGTGCCATGCATTAGCCCACGCCGTGATGGGTGAGGAATCGGTATGGCAAGACGTGAAACACACACTCTTTCATAATCCGGGCGCCGCCTGTCAGCCGATCACGTCACACAAGTCGCAACGTCATGCGGGATCGCTATGAGAAGAATCAGAACCAGTGGTATCGTCGTCACTATCAGGGTCAACCACCACCACTGGTCGGACGCCTGAAGTCCGTGGTGAAACATCACCGTCACCGCGAACAGGCAAATCAAACACTATGGGGCTGCGCTGCGTTGCAAACGGCATGGTGTGTCCAATCGCAGCGTTGATGCATGTCGTAGAATTCGCCGACCCCCCCGAGGTCACCAAACGCGTGAGACTTCTGCCTTGGCCGGTCTTGTTCGTTTCAGGACGGGTGGGCGTGCACACGGTTTTTTCCCAAACAAACCTATGGTGTTGGGTCCTCGTTTTGAAGAGACAACGCCCGGCGTCACTCCTTCTCCTCCCCGTCCCCCTCCTCCCTTCTCCATTGATCGCTGACACACCCCTCACACGTGGCCCCATAAGGGGGCTCCATCTAAAGCCTCCGTTGTGCAGTTCGCATGTGGGCGTCGCTCCCGTTTCGGCACACCCTTCACACGTGTCGTGGCCCCATCAGGGGCTCCACCGAGTGCCTCTGTGGCGCAATTCGCATGTGGGCGTCACGCCCGTTTCAACACACCTCTCACACGTTTCGTGGCACCATAGGGGGTTCCATTTAAGGCCCCCATGGCGCAGTTCGCATGTGGGCGTCGCTCCCGTTTCGGCACACCCCTCACACGTTTCGTGGCTCCATTGGGGGCTCCAACGAGTGCCTACGTGGCTCCATTCGCATGTGGGCGTCATGCCCGTTTCCGCACACCCATCACACGTTTCGTAGCCCCATATGGAGTTCCATCTAAAGCCCCCGTGGCGCAGTTCGCATGTGGTCGTCGCTCCCGTTTCGGCACGCCCCTCACACGTTTCGTGGCTTCATTGGGGGCTCCACCGAGTGCCTCCGTGGCGCAGTTCGAATGTGGGCGTCAAGCTCGCTTCGGCATATTCCTCACACGTTTCGTGGCCCCATAGGGAGCTCCACCGAGTGCCTCCGTAGGACAGTTCGCATGTGGGCGTCACGCCAGTTTCTGCACAGCCCTCATAGGTTTCGTGGCTCCATTGGGGGCTCCACCGAGCGCCTCTGGGACGCCCGTTTCGGCACACCCCTCACAAGTTTCGTGACCCCATAGGGAGCTCCACCGAGTGCCACTGTGACGCAGTTCGTTTGTGGGCGTCACGCCCGTTTCGGCACACCCCTCACACGTGTCGTGGCCCCATAGGTGGAGCTCCACCTACGGCCCTCGTGGCGCGGTTCGCATGTGGGCGTCGCGCCCGTTTCGGCACACCCCTCACACGTGTCGTGGCCCCATAGGTGGAGCTCCACCTAAGGCCTCCGCGGCGCAGTTCGCATGTGGGCGTCACGCTCGTTTCGGCACATCGTTCACACGCTTCGTGGCCCCATAAGGGGCTCCACCGAGTGTCTCCGTGGCGCAGTTCGCATGTGGGCGTCACGCCCGTTTCGGCACACCGTTCACACGCTTCGTGGCCCCATAAGGGGTAGTGCCTCCGTGGCGCAGTTCGCATGCGGTTCTCCACCCATGTCGGCGCACTCCTCACACGTTTCGTGGCCCCATAGGGAGCTCCATCGAGTGCCTCCGTGGAGCAATTTGCATGCAATTCCCCACTAACTTCGACCCACCCCCCTCACACGTGTCGTGGCCCCATGGGGAGCTCGACCGAAAGCGATGGCTAAAACGCGGTACTCACAACTGCATATGGCGGATTCCGGAAACCCTGAAGCTAAAAACGTTTTCATCTCTTGGGGGCACATCTTTGCTTTCCGCCGCCTTTCGCCAACCTTCCGCTGGCTTCCGCCGGCGGCGGCGGCCTCGCTTTACTTCCGCCGACCTTCCGCCACCCTTCCGCCGAGGAAATGGGCTGGCAACTCCATCGATCCTCGAATGCAAGGCCTTTTCTGGAACGCCTCATATGGCTGGGTCCTTCGCCAGGACATTTTCGTGCTCGTTGTGAATTCTTTCGACGTGTCGACGCCGCGCCCGCATCCAAGGGCTCCCAACTTCGCGCTTCGCGCTGCGCGAATGGCGAATAACTTCGCGCTCTCGCGCCGCCTCCCAAGGGAGAAGAGGAGGATGAGGAGGAATCGGAGCCGAACCGCGAAGCGGGAAAACTCCGCGCCCTCGAGGGCGCCCTTGGCATCCAACCGCGAGGCCCGGACGCGTTCGCCTCCGCGCCTCGCCTCGGCGGCCCGTGGAGAGGGCCGCTGCTGGCCTGCAGTGCCACTGGCGCGGCGATCTTCGCTCGGCTCTGCTCCTGCGCGCGCTGCCGCCCGACCGCAGCATCGCACAGTCGACCTGTATCATAAGTTGGAAGCTGG